TATCATAGGAAGTTGCCATGTGGGTGTTTCATGAATGATACCTTTGCACTTGTGCTTATTATTCAGTGTGCTCTAAATGCTATTGTTATAGATATATACTCTCAACAGTATAAATCTGCATTGATTCTGGAATATGCTTCTTCCATAGAAATTTTCATTATCATCCATGCATTATGTTGTGACTGTTGATTTGCCTGGAACTTGATGAATCTTGTCGCACAAGTAACAAAACAGAAACAAAGTTGAAATCCATAAATGTGTGTGTAGATATACAAAATATTGATAAATTAGATTGAACTGGAAGGTTTAGAGGTCATACAAATTATCAAGCGATGTATTACGAATAATATAAATACTTAGTTTATGCTGTGGTGATCTTACTGCTCTGCTGTTTGTTGAAGGATGACAATGGACAATAACGCAGCAGATATAGAGCCTAACCATCCTTTTATGAAGCCAGAGATTCCAAGTCCTGTATCAGTTACATCCCATGATCATTTTCCTTTCATTCCAAGAGAGATACAAGAGAGTGTGGTCCCCTCAGCTGTTGAATTTGCTGAGTTATCTCATTTGCAAAGTGTAAGACAGGTGCCACTTGGACCTGGTAATGCTAGCTCCAATAACTTGGTAGAAGGTGAGACAAACACATTATATTCTGAAACTCTTCGTGGTGCTGGTCTGCTATGGTGTGTGTGTGTATCATTCTAAATTATTTCCAAGTAATACACTGTTTCATCTATCAAATCATTAACTGGCTTAAGGAAACTCAACAACAGCAATTAAGCAAAAACTGCATTAGACTTCACAACATAATATGATAAAAATCCCCCTTTTATTTGTTGAGTTGCATAATTCATGTTATTCTTTCATATGCTGAACAGCGTATTCAGGTTCCACTTCTACTGGATTGCTTGATCCTTTGGAGCAGAATGACAATGGTAAATTGCCAGTTCTTTCATTCGTGTTTTAGACTCACTCTATCTCCAGATATTTTATGTAACTTTTTTGTTATTTGCATCAGTCGAGGAGTTCTTTGTCGATACCTTTCCTGCTGCAAGCTCTCAATCAGAAGAAGAATCTTAAGTGAAGCCCTCACAGTTTTAGCCCTAGTTTTTATTTAGCTAGATCTATTTTGAACTCGAGAAGCTTCCCTAATTTTCTTGACTTTCTAGAGGGATCTAGTGCACTAGGGTGAATTTGAAACCTTAAAGCAGATTAAGGCAGGCATCAATAAGCCTTCTGCTATATTTTATCTTTCTAATAAGCAAACTCACCTGCATTTTGCCGCGGGCCAAATAAAAAAATAATTTTAATGCAATAAAAAAATATACAGACATTATTAATATATTTTTACATCCAGAAAGTTTTTATTTATGAATTAAGAACTTGAAGCGTGCATTTAATAAAATTAACTTATTATCTATCAGGGTTGTTAACTTTTTTACCCGCATTGCATTGCAGGTAGTATAGGGTGTTGTGGGTAGAATTTTGCAATGCATTTTTGAACAGAAATTAAAGGATATTGGAAGCTAATAACTTTAGCTTTGATCCCTTTTTACCCTGTTATAGAGTAGAATATTTGTTATAAGACTTTGCTACAAGTGCATGTGAAGGGTGCTTGGGCGCCTGAATCCTCAACGCCTTAAGTAAACCGTTTCCTCCCGCACCTTCACTACGAATACAAACAACCCTATTTCTAAAGGACTATGTTTATGACACCTACATGAAAGTTTCTGGTATCCCATTGATAGGATACCAGACATTTTTTCTGGGTAAAGAATCGACGCAGACAGGAACTGTTTTTTTTGCCATGGTTACTTTAGAAATAAGCGTTCCATGGGAATCAAATAATGTCGGGCCACAATGTTTCATCATAATTTGATAACCTTTTTTCAGTAATTATTTCAAACTCAATATATTGTTTTTTTATAGTTAGGATATTATAAACATCATCAATAAATTAATGACTATCATCTTTCAGTTGTACCTTTTTTTATGTATATCTTTGAATGATTGACATTACCTGTAATTGATTTATAAAGCTTTATGAACTTGTTTTTTATCTCTACACGTGATTATTGGCTTTATTGTCAAGATACAACATGTTTTCTTTGATTTTCATTTGTCCATCATGGACTAGTAATAGGGTGGCTTTCTACTCTTCTTCTACTGTAAGATTGACATTCTCTTCAACCTTTTTGGTTTGATTCCAGCAATCCCTGGCATGTGACAATTTTTTTTTTAATAATTATAACACTTAATTTTTTATTTGTTATACTTGGACCTTGGATTGCTACTGCTGAGGATCTGGTAGTCCGGTTGGCTTTATCCGGTCTATTGGATGATCTGTTGAGGTTACCTCAGCCTCCTCTTTCAAATCTAGCTCTTCCTTTACCTTGTCCACAATCTCTGCACCTTTGGTTGGATCCTGGAATATCATGTTTCTCATTTAGAGAAAACTTCAAAAACAATATTTGTGCACTTGTATCTCTTTTGTTCTCACTTACTCTATCTTCATAGGCTTGTGGGGTTCTCCTGGTTGACTCAATGGTCACATTCTCCCAATCTTGAGATTCCTCTATCGACATAACTACAGAGTTGAACCTTTTAGGCATTGATCTCATGATCTTTTCTACTACACGTATTTCTTTCACATCATCACTGCATATAATCATCTGAATGTAAATTGCCAACACTCTGCCAAAGGAACCTGAAATTCATTCAGATTCATGCATTCACAATGCCTCAAATTCTCCTTTTAGTTTCTGAAGGTGAACTCTTTTTATTTTCTCAGTTCCTTATTTTGTCCCTTACAAAATATCTCATGCTTTTTTAGTTGTGGTTGCTCTTGACACCTTAGAAAAGTGGTGTCATCCAAACAATGATGAATCATTGTTATTGCTTGGTGATCTGGTGATCTTTTTTTTTCGTGCCTTTTGCACAACCTCTTTTTGGGCAGGTGTCAACATAGCTCCTTCAACTGGTCCATTAAAACCTGCTTTAACCATCTCTCATACATCTTGAGCTCCTAACCAAGCCTTTGCACGGACACTCCATATCTCATAATTGTTCTTTGTCAAATGAGGACCTTGAAGGGAGAGATTTGAGTTGGCCATTACATACAATCAAATTTAGCCACAAATAATCAATCTTGGTTCTGATACCACTTATTGGAAGAAGATTAGTGCATAAACTTATTATAGATAGTAATGCTAATTTGCAAAACTAAAGAATATGAAGAAATTGAGAGGAATGTATACTTTATTAAGTGGTTTTCTCTAATTTTGTCTCTGCTATACTGCTTCTTATAACTCTAACTTCAAGCTTATTTATATGCCTAAAGTTCTAGAAAAATAAGAAATTGAACTGAATAAGAAATCTATTCTAACTACGAAAATAATTATGTCAACTCAATCTGGAAATTGAATGCCTCTGGATGCAAGAAATCTTAGTTTAATTTTATTTTTAACACGATCATCATTTCCCATTTCTTGAATATGATGAAAAGAAGTCTGGTCATAGTGATGATGCCTGAAGGATGTGGGAAAATGTGGGAAAATGTTTTTTTTTTTTTTTTAAAACTTCATTAGGTATGGAAATGTGAAGGTCATGGTTAGAGTTCAGGATAAGGAATTAAAGATATATACAAGTGGAACACATGCACAAGTAGAGATGCAGATATCTGAGTTATTGTTGAAGTAAACTCAATCCAGAAGGTCAAGGAAGGCAGCCACCAGCTGTCACCGCCCAGCCACCAACCGACCAGCCGCCAGCCGCCAGCCACCGGCCGCCGTCACACCGTCGACTAAAAACCGCCTTCACACTTGAAGGTTGGATTTTCTTGTTTTGATTTCGGG